TAAGATTTTATTTTTCAAAATCATATATGTACAATTGACAAACAAATTTCAACTTATTGCTTACAACCACATTCAAGTGTTTAGGTGTAAAATAGCATGTTATAACATCACAATAAATGATGGTTTAGGGAAACAAAAAAGGATGTCCTGTGCACTACGTACATAACGGAAACCTATCTAACAAAACATATAAGCTGTATGAGGAAGACTAAAAGTGAGATCAGGAGTTAATCTACCATATATTGACAGCTATAGCTAGTCCAGAATGTTTCTGTATCTCCAATCCCAGGCTAATCTCGCATCAGCTACGACATTATCCTATTTCATCCTTGCACAACTTCTTTTTTTCTCTCACTCAAATTTCTTTTCAAGGTTAAAATTATACAATTTCAATATTGTACCAACTCATCATTTTATAATTACCCTATGCATTCAAAAATTAAAACTTTACATCCTAAATTTTTATAGATATGCCTGTAAATGGAAATAAAAAACAGTATCTCAAATCCCTTGTTCACCTTGCTCCCTGTTTGAAACAATTTAGTACATCACAAAACAAGTATGCAAATCCGAATACTTTATATTTTGCCAAACAAAAAAATCTAAAAAAAAAAAAAATCATTCAAATTCAAATCTGTCCCAAATTTTTATGAAGCAACCTAAAATACATTGGATTTTCTTATAATTCTTCAACAAATTAAGTGTAGAGTGCAATTGTAAAATAATAAAATGACACAATATGAAATTTACAGTAAGTTTCATGGACTTTTATCTACCAGTCCAGTGTGGCAGAAAACTCCATACTAGTTATAAGGACACATTCCAAGTACATGGTCCTGCTTTTATCTCTACGTTTTATCTTTTCTAGACCAATGGGTGTCATATTAGACGAATTTTACACTTGTGTGTACCCCACTGAAATTAGATAAATACTTCCAGCATACAACATGAACCAACTCTATATGGTATAGTTCAGTGACCATGTATTTGTCGATATGTCAATACATCCTAATCATCCCTATGAAATTCTGTCCTATAATTATAAGTAAGACAAATTGTTTGGTCCCAAAATAGCTTTGCAAAGTTTATCTTATACGTGTACAGCATTCAGTTTGTCACACACGTTTAAAATAAAGATCAATGGTTTGGAGTTTGCAATTCATAGCCATTCACTGTTTTGAAAAATTTGATTTATTTAATCTTAAATGAGTTTTGATCTCATTTACTTTCCTATCCTATGTGGGCTATAGCCAACAAAGGGCGATAATCACAGATCCATTTACTTTTCTATCCTATGTGGGCTATAGACAACAAAGGGCGATAATCACAGATCCATTTGACCATCATACTCAGTCTAGCAAAAATATAACATAAACCTTGATTCCAAAACACCAACAAATCCCATAAATAGTCTATTACTGAATTAAAAATTAGCAAATATGTTAAATCTTACTCAAAAACAGCATAATTGTTATTACTTAAATATATAATAATATATATATAAACCAGAAACACTTAAAAAAGTAAAACCTATTCACACCAGTTCATGTGGTTTCATAAATATACAATTAAAATCGTTTTGGTTTTATTACATTTCGCACAAGATGAAATGTCTCAACACATGATCAGCATATACAGGAACATGTACACAGACTTAAATAGCAGTCGACTAGCTTATTTCAAAATTACATTAACACACAAAATGTGGCCATGACATCAACTTGTACGCCTAATAAAATGTAGGGTTATCTCCCCTACCCCAGGAGGTAAAGTATACGTACATTAAAAGTTTTAAAACTTATAAAAAGTTCTCTCTGATCAAAAAGTACAACCAGTTTTACATATCTTAACATCTTAAACCAGACAAAGAAATAATCTTTTTTAATTTTTAACACAGCATACTTCTTTTCAAATTCTGGTGAATGAAGATTTTTTATGAAAATTTTATGAAAGTTAAATATTTTTGAGACATACAGGTGTGATAGACTAGAAAATATAAGATAAAAACTAAATAAAACATGGTTATTATCAACTCTATATAAAATGGTAAGAAATAATCATTATTAAGAGCAGCAGATATGATACTGTATCTTTCAGGTTCTTTATTCTGCTGAAAAAAACTCATATGCTACCAACAGTTAACTCAGTTTTACATTCTAATGAAACATCCCAGAAATAGTGCATCGACAAAGAAACAAAAATCTGTACCAGATTTATATAAAAGTTAAATGTAGTTTTGTTGTGAACATGATTTTTTTCTCTCTAATTAACAACATATCAAATGTATTGTGCCTTAACACCAGAGTTCAATTCACCCAACACTTTCTAACAGCGCCCTTTTAGTGTCCTGATAACAGAGTAATGCTAGCAAATGTTTTTCTTTTCTAAATTATTGAAGAGAAAGATTGAAATAATAAAACACACTGTTTAATTAAATATGTAAGATGTTATTCAGCCGACTAAGTTTTAAGCAGTACAAATGAAGGGTATACATAAAGCATACATCTATGTCCTTACAGAAATCTCATTGACTGATGTACGGGTGATATCAAGGGATGACTTGGACAGACAATTTGAGAACTGACGGCCAAGTCTTTAAACCTTTATAAGCTTAAAAACGAAGTTAATGAACAATTTTCATTTTTCTTCCCAACATATATGCATGTACAGGGAAATCCTGGAATTTGAGAGCAGTGGGCCATTTCAGCAATTTTTAGTGAATACCAAAATTAAGAACGGCCATTCTATGCAAACAAAAAACAAAAAAATAACAGAGGGGTAAATTTCAGTTTTGAGGGGTCAATGACCCCACCTGCATGTACTGTGTTTATAAAACTAAATGTGTACATACATTTATAGTATATACTAAACTAAATATATGTCATACAAACAATTTATTTTGATTATTTGAATAAAAAATTGTTAAAGTAACAGAGTTAAGAAGAACTAGGCAGGGAATGCACAGTGTTACTACTGATATTGGCTTAAGCACTGATATAAGTCATCACAACAACTGTATCCATTTGTATGCATAATATCAAACATTCATGAACACACAATTTACATTATCAGCCAGACTCTTTAGATCATTTAAATGAATTTTTATAAATGCATAAAAAAAATCAATCAAAGCAAATTGAGGTCAAGTATTACATCTCAATGTATATAAGGTGTTGATTTATTTCATTTTTTTACAAGAAGCAATCTGAAAGTACATGTAACAATGATTCTAAATTTACTATTTATAAACTTTTGAAATCATATGTACATGTATATAAAATCAACATTACTAGTTTAATTTTCCTGCTGAAAATAATGAAGTCACAATTCAAACTGTCTTTTCTATATTAAAACATAAAATGAATACCACCCTGTTGTTCTACCTATCCTAATGCCAGAGTTTCAGAAACACCCAGTTCCCTAATCTTCTATACAAAATGCTTCTACAGTAATCCGGCTACACATCTCACACTAAAAACATATGGTGTCATCAGTATGAAGTTTAACCTACTAGACAGTGCTTTAATTCTACAGGATCAATATTCAACAATTTACAAAAAAATGCAGAGATAATTCTGAAACAAAAATAAAATTTTGTTATTAAATATAAGAATTTTTTATGCCAACCTAAGTCATTTGTCTTGAGCACTTTCTTATTGATGCTGCAAACACTTTCATGGTCTAATATACTTTGCTATAAATTCAGTGGCACTGATCCATCAGAAGATGTAAGATATTTAAGGAGGTTGATAGATTGATACCCAGTAAAACAAAAGCACTGAACAGCAGGTGAATGAGTATAAATGACTTTAACCGTCTCAGAGAATATAAAGGAGAAAGTTTCTACAATATTTTTAAACTTGCCCTCAACAACTGAAATGTACTGTGTTTTTCTTCAAAACATAATTACGTTTTCTATATCAAAATGTTACGACTGACAAATGGTAAGTATAAATATGCAAATAATACACAAGTATCTAATTCAACCCTTCACACATGATTACAAAATTGGTTTCCCTTCATCGGCAAATACATACTTTTTTCTTTTAAACTGACAGAAAACATTACTTATAGAATGTATAAATGTACTGGAAACCCCAAAAGTTATTTGAAACTGTCCAGTAATGACAAAAAAGTTTACCATGAAAATACAGATTTGTACTTGATGATGTATATATAACGCTTCCTTCTGTAAAACATACCTCTGTCACCAATAGACTTTCTATTAAGAAACCTGGACAGTACAATTACTAAACAGTGCAGACTTGGATTTATTAACTGATGAATGTATTGATAATATAGTTTATACAGGTCAACGCACAACTTTTCAATGGAAATGGCCAAACCAATCAGATGAGTGGTTGGCAGAGCTCACCAGCTCGAAAGAGTAGATATGACTCTCAACAGATTTTTGGAAATTGTGGATGGAATTTTGCTTTTTAAAATAGTCCTAGTGTTTTGTCTTATATAAAAAGATTAAATGTAAGTGATTTCAAGACATAGTAAGTTTCTGGTTACCTTTGACCAGACTATTCCCCATGTCTCCATCTCGGGAAACCGGCAACATGTTATATCCCTCAAGCCCATACTTTAACTATATAATAAAAATTTGTATATACAGTGACTGATGAATGTAACATAAGGTCACCAAGCAAATGTTTCTTCATGCCACAACTATTGCCATGACAATATACATGTTATACAAGGGGAGACAATTTGAAATGCCTCTTCTGTCTTCCCTGAGATCTTATTTCACATATGACTTCTGTAATAGTAAATGGTATATGTTTATAACTTAAATACTGTAAAACTATGACATTGGAATCATTAAGTTAATTTTTATACTAACTTAAAGGATGTTAATTTTAAAACATTTCATCTTAAATATACAATTATGATGTATCAATTTTATTCTGAGATATGTGATTTCTGTTTTAAAAAATAAAATTTGACATTTATTAAAACCAATAAAATTTTGTTTCTTAAACTCATTCACCCCTTAAGACACATTTGAACTCTTCCAATTCAAAGGTTGGAAAAGTTCATTATGAAATTTCAGGGATGAATGAGTTAATAACGTATGTTGAGAATCTTTTTGTATGGGGTAAGTTTATTCAGTTAGGACCACAGCCTGCTTTAAACAACAGTTTTATCTTAAAACCAACATCAAATGATCTCTTTCAAAACATTCAATGATCTATGCGGAATAAGTTGTATGAAATGGAGTTGAAAGAAATCAACTGATCATGAAATGAAAATGTATGAAAATGATGATTCTCTTATCAACTTCTTCCATGCAAACACAACCCAACCCAACCGACCAATCAGCAGCTCTCGTACTCCTCACATGTCATGTGATCTGACCATGGGATGAAGATGGTGGTTGTTGTCCAGACAACCGATAACTATTACAAAGTCTTTGCTTTTTCAACAAGATCATCTATAAATTTCTGAAATGAAAAAAATAAGAAGTAATATATGCATTCCTCCATAAAAAATATATTTGTGTTTTTACATATCTAGATTTCTTTTAAATTTAAACAGTTCTCAGGTACGGTCAATTTATTATTATTGGACCTTTTAAAATGACTGACTTTTTAAATAATGCATTGAAAAGAGATGAACATTTTAAAAACCTATTTTGACTCTGTTAAACCCCTCTAGTTTGAGATGTGTGGGGTAACCTGAAGTAACATGTTGGTAAGAAATAAGAGACAGAATCATCTTTCCCCACATGATGGTACACTACACGACTAGTTACAAATCATGGTGTGGAGTAGGACTTTCAGAACTTGTTAATACTTTCCTACAATGCTTTTATGATTTCTTTTGCAATTTAATATCAAATGACATTTTCATGTGTATCATTATAAACCTACCTTTAAAACTTCAGGTGCTTTCTTGGCTTCAGCTAATTCTTTCTGTAAATAGAAGACAAGCAATGTTCATTAGTTTTCTCCCTTTAGTATGGTTTAAAAGCCGTGTTATAAAGGTCACATAGGATATGAATCAAGCATCTATCACTGGCAGAAGCTATATTATAAATTATCCTAAAACCACCTGTTCATAGTTCATACACAACACTTCAGACCCGTCTTTATGGACTTAAAATCAGGTTCGTGTAAGTTTCAGAATACTCAGCTTCAATCTCAAACATCAGCCAAATAATGCAGGCCTGTGACCTCAAGGCTGGAGTACTATAGTTGGTTGGTTGGTTTGTTAGTTATAAGTACCAGGTTTAATATCCTATCAACAGCTATCGTCATTTAAGGCAAGACCCTGTATATAAGGACCACCTTATCATAAACAACCATTAACTCATTCACCCCTACATATTTAAACTGGACTTGCTCAGTCTATGATTTAGTAAGGTTCAAATGTGATTTTAGGGGTAAATGGGTTAAGACTTCCCTTTGTTGGCCTCATCATCAAGTTTTCATATAATCTGTGACCACATCATGTGGGCCTTTGTCTTGAAGGCTGATAGCTCGGTATACCTGAACCCTGTGTATAAGGACCACCTGCTAGTAAACAACCTCATACAGGTTTAACTGAACTTCTTGTATACATGCCTTCGATCTCAACCATTTATATCATGTAGGCTAAAGATTGCCTGGTACAGTATGTGACATTTCACAGTTTGCAACAAATACAGACCACTGAGGATTATAATACTGTACACAAGTCTAGATCTCACAGACCACTGAGGATTGGAATACTGTACACAAGTCTCGATCTCACAGACCACTGAGGATTGGAATACTGGACACAAGTCTAGATCTCACAGACCACTAAGGATTGGAATACTGTACACAAGTCTAGATCTCATAGACCACTGAGGATTGGAATACTGTACACAAGTCTCGATCTCACAGACCACTGAGGATTGGAATACTGCACACAAGTCTAGATCTCACAGACCACTGAGGGTTGGAATACTGTACACAAGTCTAGATCTCTCAGACCACTGAGGATTGGAATACTATACACAAGTCTAGATCTCACAGACCACTGAGGATTGTAATACTGTACACCAGTCTAGATCTCACAGACCACTGAGGATTGAAATACTGTACACAAGTCTAGATCTCACAGACCACTAAGGATTGGAATACTGTACACAAGTCTAGCTCTCACAGACCACTGAGGATTGGAATACTGCACACAAGTCTAGATCTCACAGACCACTAAGGATTGGAATACTGTACACAAGTCTAGCTCTCACAGACCACTGAGGATTGGAATACTGTACCCAAGTCTATATGTCACAGACCACTGAGGATTGGAATACTGTATACAAGTCTAGATCTCACAGACCACTGAGAATTGGAATACTGTACACAAGTCTAGATCTCACAGACCACTGAGGATTGGAATACTGTACACAAGTCTAGATCTCTGCTGCGATATATTTCTGTCCACTGGGCAACGTATTAAAATAGATTGAATTATATATAGGGACATTATTTTATGGAAATTTCTCATATGAAATTGCAAGCTTGGAATATAAAACCCCGCAAACTATTGTGTACATGCATCAACTTTGATAAAAGCTGACATACTTTACTGGATAAAATATACTATCAATCTATATTTTATATAATATTAGTAAGTATTTTAGAATAGTATGCTGCATATAAACCTACATATAAATCCTAACACATGTTCTACAAATTCAAACTTGTTGAAATGCTTTAGTTTAAAGCTGAACAAAAAAATAAACATGAATTTACAAGCACCGACTGATTCATAGTGGTGTTACCGGGTATACCGTAAGTTTGGATAACAGACATTTAGAGGTTTTTTTATATATGTATGTAAACCTCTTGTACAAGACCATGACTACCTCCCATTTCATTTGCTAAATCTCAACTCTAGGTCTGTGTGTCACCATAGTACTGGGTACAAGTCTGAGTAAAATATACATTGGGTCTAGCTTAACGACTGGAAGATTAAAGAAATATTCTGAAAAAGTTATAAAATCTTCTGATGCCAAGTGATAACAGAGTTATGGTTGGTGCCTCTGTTGTTATTTACCTGTACACTGTGGAATTGAGGTGTAGTATTCTCACAATACGTTTTATTTATTTTTGATATACATCTTTACATAAATGTTGACAGAATCATGTCTCAATGTCCTATTTCAGGGAACACACTGATTTAACAGTTATAGGAATGATAAAACATGTGTACACATCATTTCAATGACATTCATGACTGTCAGTGGTCCCTTGAGGCCTTACAGGGCCCACACATGCCATGCCAGACTACACTAAGATAACATCTTGACCACCTCTTTGATTCAATGAGATTACTTTTGTATGTCCCATTACTTTATGCTATAAAATTTCAGCCATTTCATTTTTGTGTCATTCTTAAAAGAGATGGTGAAATAAACACAAGGCAAAAAACTTCAGATATAGTTGGTATTACTGCTAATAATAAGTATTCAAGGATATGAGCGAGTGAAAGCTTTGTAGGGCGAAAAAAATATTATGGTTTACTGCCACTCACCTCAAAAGTATTCATTGGGGGGGAGGGGGGGTGTTGACCTAGTACCAATGACCTAAAAGTGTTTATGTTGGGTGGGGGTTGACCTAGTACCACTAACCTCAAACTCAAAGTCTCTATTTTGGAGTGGGGTGGGGTTAACTAGTCTTCATTTGTGAGGTGATCCAGTACTACTGATCTCAAAGTGATATATATGCTTGGAAAAATGGATATTTCTGAATGAATCTATAAAAAATACTCTTGATTCATAATTAGTCAGTAACATGTAAGTTAGTCCGAATTATACTGACGTTTTACCAACTTTTTTTCATATCGGTCTGTCGTCGATTAACGTCAGAACTCCGGCCCTCTATAATATGCGGGAAATATGCGACCTGCGCCCAGAGCACACTTCAAACTGATATTTTAGAAACAAATCGTCACTTTCACACACATGTCGCACATGAATCGAAAGATCTATTCATTATGCACAAGATGAACAAACATAACATGCCTCAACCCACCAATACAGTCACTAAAAACATTTTTTCAAACTTACTCTGTTTTACTCTAGTTTTTTGATAGCCCCGCCTTCTAATGCCACGTGACTAAAATCTCGCCGGCCTACGTCATAACGTTTGGAAATACCTTCGGTAATGCGTGCTCTTGTCAAGTCATGTGACATTGCTCATGGCCTAATTTCCATTAAAAACATGGGTTGGGTATAGAAAACGTTGGAAAATATTTTTCGTAATGATCTTTGACACATGTTATTGATACCACCTAGTGCATAAAGAATAGATCTTTCGATCCATGTGCGACCTGTGTGTGAAAGTGACGATTTGTTTCTAAAACATCAGTTTGAAGTGTGCTCCGGGCGCGGGTCGCATATTTCCCGCATATTATAGAGGGCCGGAGTTCTGACGTTAATCGACGACAGACCGATATGAAAAAAGTTGATAAACGTCAGAATAATTCGGACTACATGTAAGTGTGTGTATAATTATAGAAGTCTGTTCCGACACAGAGTTTACGGTGCCATGAACAGGAAGTACAGAAGAACTAGCTCTCTGGGATGGTAGTTGTCAATAAAGAAGCACTAACATTAACAGGGTCAGCTACAAAGTTAACTAACGTAACTTAATTAGCTCTGTATAAATGTGAATCAAGAATCAGAACATCTTTATCCCCAGTATTTTACAGGGTACGTAGGAGTCAAGCGAGCCTGGCACACTACCTACAATGTTGAAGCTACATACATCACAGTATAACAGCTGTTCCCTCCAATTTCATGAATGACGTTTTAAATCTTTTCCCCATAAACATGAATGATCAACATGTACCAATAATGGGGCTATTTATACTTCCACAAGAGATCCCATCTACCTAACTTAGACCTTGTCAGAACAAGATCAGCACAACTTAGACCTTGCCAGGAACTAGACACAGTGTGGACTCCACCAGATCTGACTTACAGCCTGTATAATCCCCTCCATTTCTCAACCAAAAGATTTTTGTTTTTACTTAGATAACATCTGCATTCTATGCACATTATCTTAGATAGACCACAACCCAATCCTAACACTGCATGTGTAGTCTGGCCCAGTATTTTGAATTTCCCATTAATAGAAAGTTTTATGCATACATTGCAAAATCAGTTGTTCATTTTATCAGGACACATGCACTCAGTACATAGATATTCATCAAAATGGTTAACAATTATTCTCTTCACAAACTCATACCTACATTTTTTGAAATTAATTAGCAATTAAAAGCACATTTATAGTCTAAAAGGAACTGGAATTTTGAAAGCTTCAATGGTACAGACCAGAGTTTAACCACATATAATTACGAATACCTACCTACTGTATATTGAATAGTTGACAGTACTAACATGCTATGAATACATACACGTTCTTTGTGATTTTTCATGTAATGTTGAACAGAGATTTATCTCATGGGAATGAAAAGGCATCCAAGTATGAAGACAGATAGGGCAAATGATAGGAGTCTTCATGGGTCATTAGAATTCCAAATCTTACATTTCAACACCAGGGGGTCTACAACTGCAGCCTATCACCACTCACATACACACCCTGTACTACAGCCATGTGGTACTCTGTAGTGTTAGCCACCTGTCCATACACTCCCCCATATGACTACATGTCATAGCTGTCAGTAGACTTCAGCTGTTTTGTATAAGCTTTCCAATTTTCACAAATGTGTGAAATTATGAAATCATATTTCAATACCCTAGGTAATGATCCCTACCCCGCCCATCTCCTCCTAAGACGCTCCTAAAAGAGCATGCACATATACATTATAGGTATACATTTGTGTAATATGCCAGTCTCCTCCACCCTGTGGTAAATAAATGATAACCTGACAGCAGTAAAGCCTTCACGCCACTCTAACACACATGGAGGCTGCC